AAGTTCGCAAACGTCATATTCTTATGAGCAAAGCAGCGATGCTAAAGGGACAAGGGATCATATGTCAGAGAGACCTTGCTCTGACACTCTTCGGGTTCATTGGCTTCACGTTTTTGAAGCCGGAGAAATTTGGAGTCGAGACGTTACAGAAGGACGACTGGGATGCTTATAATCAGTTTTGGCGCGTTATAGGATATATGATTGGTATCGAAGACAGGTAAATATGTTTTGACAAACATAAAAATGATGTACATACATTTTACTAAATTGACACAAAACGAATGAAGGTATTTATAAAATAATATTAAGTTTAAAAGAGAACGAATGAATGAGTGAACGAAAGAACGGAGGAATGGACAGACTAATAAAGATCAGACGAATGAACTAACGTAATATGTGGAGGGTAGTCATAGACCAACAAAGCCATCTGACCTGGTAGGAATATGTCAAATTTAACTATGACAGCTCACTAGCGCCACTTTATCTACGTCAAAAAAGTGTAACAAGATCCTTTTCGTACGGTGATTGTTTCCTTTTATGTCATTTTCTTTGTCTAAGTAGGTTTTTATATATTCTGACATAACTTACCGCGATAGCAGCGCCTCTCACCTCTCTATAATCCTTGTTTGACTATACTATTAAACGAACGGTAGATTAAAAAAATAATAAAACTTATGTTGCCAGATACAATATATGTCGGAATAGTGTCGAAGAGACGCGACAAGTTTGCCAATTGATACTACAGCGAGTGTACACTCCTTACCTGACTTATCCACCGGAGTACTTCGAGTACATGGCCCACATCATGCTGGAGGGAGTGTCCTCAGCCAACCCTACAGTCAACACGCCCTCCTTGCTCTACTGGACTAAGTATTTAGCGGAAGTGCCAGGGTACGTGTACACGGAAGGGGAGAGGATTCAATTCCAACAACTGTTGAAAGATAAATTAAACGGCAGTTCAGAAGATACAGGTAGGTTAATTCAGAACCCTATCAGTACTTATTAATAAATGAAACTTTTGAGTTAAGTATTAATCGACCGCTGTATGGCATTAGCAACAAATAAACCACGCATCAAAGACCTGTTTCGCTTGGTAAGAAATAGGAATAGATTCGCTAATCTAGCGGCAAACCAAGAAGAACAAGCGAAAGAGTCGCAAATGATCATCAAGTGGGAAGAAATGGGTCGAAACTACAGAAAAAACGATTTCTCATCTATACCCTCCCTTTTCCGTTCTTTTCTAATAAAATAACCAAATTGAGACGGTAAGATGACTTGAATTAAGCCAGAAAAGGAAAAAAAATTTTAAACTCAAAGACAATCTTTCATGGAATCGTAATCGGCCTGTCAGAATATTCTTACAAGCATATCAGTTCTGCCGCATTTAAAGTTTGCTATATTTTTTTCACAGGCGTTGACTCCTTCACACTAATGTCGAAGCCTTTTATTGAAAATTCAAGCAAGAAGCGCCTTTTGTACGTGAGAGATTATAATTCCTTCGAAACGATACCAGAATATAAAGAACTATCTCTATTTTCAAGATTGAAGCTTATGTTTCATTCTTACTTCACAAGAATATACACCACGTACTACGGACGAAGATTTCTAAATGCAACTTTTTTATTTATTATTAAGTTAATGAAACGTCATCCAAAAATGACTTTTTTAATGTTCAATATTAAGGTATCAGCGAGATATTTATTCAACTTTCCCTTAGACAACTCTGGATTAAAACCTAATTCCGTCTTTAAAAAACAAACGACTAAATTACATTGGTACAAAGCTATTGTATCTTGTTGGCAACGCATCTGTGGTTCCTCTGATACTGCTGACGTCCATGGGCGTCGTTGAACACCTAGGTGTTCTCGCTGCTCGTTTGCACCCTTCTCTTATAAAAAAATATATTATTCGAAACAATTTTTTTAAGTACAGAAAGACCAAGGACATGAACGTTCATTTAAAAAAAAAACTTTATAATTTTGTCTGTTTACCAAATTGTTATTATCAAATTCGCAGTTTGTCCTTGTCAGCCTGTTTGTTCAAATCTTGAATTATTCTACATAAATATTAAACAGATGTTGTTTGTATGGATTTAAATTAATTATCATAATTATTGTGTATCATAAGATAGGGTTAATCTTTGTATCAAAATATTGCAAGATAAAGTTGAACGTAACAAGATAACAAACGTAACAAAATTTCTAGAATAACCTCGATAAAATCTCTGTACAATTTTCTTTACAATTTAAAGGTATAGCCGGATCAAGAATATAGAAGACCTGGACACTTGACAGAAACTAGGGAACTAATTTCTTGCAATGAGTACGTACAATCATAGCGTAATTTTTGTGTTCGTAATGATTTCACATATTAAAATTTGAAAAAAGTTATAACCGGCGGAGAAAAAAAGTGTTATTATCTATGGATTTAAAATAATGAAATAAATTTTCAATGACATTAGTCGTAGTGACGTAGTTATAATGTTCCAAAGGGAGCGTAATATCGTCATGACAGGTTTTCTATTGTCCTGATCAGGCTATACTTCGCATGATGTCTATTAATCTTTTAGTTCTTGATAGTCTAGTCTAATTAAATTATATAATCTATTGTCTAGTCTCATTGCGCTAGACTTTAATAGTATATAGTATATGTCATTTAGTTGATAATTAAATTGTGAAATGGAAAATATAACTTTTTATTATTATAGTGTACGTTTTGCCAGTACTTGTTTTTTTTTAAAAAAAACAAAGATAATGTTGATGTATATACAGTTGTATCGTCGGTAAAGAATGAAAGTTATTTCATTAATTATTTTTAATCCAAACGTAATATTATAGCATAAAATATTTATAAAAAATTGCCTACAATTCCAACATTTATGTTTTCTATCGTTTAAATCCAAGGTCGAATTTAAGTAAACAAAAGAACTGTCACATGACGGATGGCGGCCATTACTTTGCAAATAAAAGAAAAAGTTGGAATTTCTGAATTTCAGCGTATATTATAGATTGTCTATGGTTAACAGTTTGTATTGGCAAAAACAACAAAAATAAAACTTGTCAAAAAAAGTCTTGTAACGTAGTTTTTTAGTGTAAAAAGTTGTGAGATGTAAAAACAAGTTTGTTATTTTCTCAGTCTCTGCTAGGAATCTTATAGTGACCATATCATTATTAAAATATTGTATGTTTGAAATGAAATGTAATGGCGTAATGAGCATAACATCATTAGGAAATAATTTAGCTTAAAATAAATAATTATATGAAATTATAAGCAGAATTTTATTTTTCATTATTATATAACAAATTAATTCATAATATTATTGTACATTCTTGCTAATGTAATAAATAAGAAAGTTTCTAGAAGTTTTCTCCAGAACGGCTTAACGGATCTTGCTGAAATTTTGCATAGACATAGAACATAGTCTGTTATAAGTTTTTTATTTTAATTTCGCACAGAGAAAGTCGCGGGCAAAAGCTGGTATGTTTTATTGCGAGTGTTGTAAGTAGAAACTAGGATTACATCAAATCCGTGACTTTGGACTTGTTTTTTAAAAGATTATTTTTATCTTTGAGATAATTGAAAAATTGCATTGTAATTGATTATCACTTGGCATGCCCATTTTTTAATGCAAAAATATGTTTAACCTCTCATTTTATTATTATATACTAGCCTGCGAGTCTCATAGAGTCCGATCATAAGTCTATGCAGGTTCAAATTGAGCTGATCTGCGAGTCGATTCAATGATCTGCTTCACATATGCAAAGTATGAGCTTATTATACATTTGAAGCTATAAGTTAACGATAACTTTTCAGAAAAATATTAATAAAAGTACACTTTTATAGTGTTCACTGGGAACGTTAGTGAACTTTTTATATATAACTAGCTGTCGCCCGCGATTCCGTCTGCGCGGGATTAAAAATAGATGTTGGCCGATTCTCACACCTACTCAATATGATCACAAAATTTCATGAGAATCGGTCAAGCCGTCTCGGAGGAGTATGGGAACGAAAACTGTGACAAGAGAATTTTATATATAAGATTTATTTTGAATTATGCCCACCGGGTATCTTTGTTGGTCTACACCGAACTCGACGTATCTCGTATGTCAATTACATAAAAGGTCACTCAGTTTACTCACGTCTCATGATTATAATCCTTATATGAGTACATAAAGCTTATCTCCAAAATCAGACATTACGTATGTAAGGAACTTTAATAATTTTAATCACATTATTTTTATCATCGGATATCAAAACTAACCTACTTAATTTTCAAGTCAATTTCTGCAGTAATATCTATTGTATTTCTTTGAAAATTAAAATATCTAAATCCTGGTAATAAAAAGAAAACTTATAGCTATTTGAAATTTCATTAATTAATGTAAAATAAAATAATTGTTTAAAAACACTACACAATAAATGTATTTTAATTGCTTGAAATGGACGAATGATTTGATTGTAATGACATTTCACACTTTCAAAAGTATATTGCCATCTCTTTCATTCTCTTTGACAAGACCGAGACAGCAATATGTATTATTACTAGTTCTCTGGATTCGAAGCTCACGGTCGTATGCGCGATACGGAACACAGTTGTATAGCTACACGTTTGCTTGTTCTTACCGTGTTGTTATCGAATTAATAAAAAAATAATAGGAACTTAGAAAAGATATGCGACATGCAACATTATGACATAGCATATTAAATGTTCCAAGTAAGAATGTCCATACAACCTCTTCCATATTATAACCTCATCGCTGCAAAAACGAAAAAATAAGTGATTGAATAAAACAGATGATTTTTTTAAAATTAGAATATGCGAATTGATAAAATAATTTTTACACAATTTCGTTGTCAGCCTACCAATGATAGGCGATTAGGCCAATAGAATAATGCGTCTACTACGAAATATAACTTTCGCAAATTATATTTTATTGAAACTTTACTAGCAATTTTTGACAGATCAGTGGATCAGAATAATTCTTATCTAGAACGCGTAGTACTGCCGCATACCGCTAGAGCGCTTAGTGCCAATGCGGTTTTCGAACTGTCAACGTGAAATAACGGCAACGGCAACGGAGTGAGAGCAGGCAAATAGTGCGTATTCGCGCGCCGCGCGGATTGGTTCTTTGTTCACATATTGTGTCATTATTTGTTTTTATTAGCAGCGATTAAAAGTTATTTCGTAATTTATAACCAAGACAGGAACTAGCAATGGATTTGAGCGGTAAGTTAATAATAATGAGTAAACGAAATAACCGTAATATTCACATTATAAAAAATACCTGTTTACAGTGAAAGAGACAGCTATAGGTTTCTAATTGAGCTGCTAGAGAGCCAATATAATATTTATGTGGTTTGAAATTAGAACGTAAATAATAAAATGCTTTTAAAAACTTTCACGTACAAATGTTACTGGATGCATCAAATTACTGGCAAATTCCATATCTAATAATTAGCATCTTTTTGTCATCTCAGACATGTTAATAATAAATATGTCCTACATGTTTAAAGATTAGTTTCAATGGGTAACGTTATAAATTATTTATTATAGAAGTTACATATTCAACATTGTTGTTTAATAGTTTACAATATAACTAGTCAGTTTGTAAACAAATCAGTGAAAAACATACAAAGTAGGTGTTGAGTGCAGTTTCCAATTTTTTATTGTTTTAATCGACTGCATCTTTTTGTAACTTGATTCTGTGAACGATAAATACATGTAGAGGTTAATACATACTTTTTGCTGTATTTTCTTAATTTAAAACTTGTATAATTCTGTACATTTACTGTTATTTATCACTGTCGGGACACTGCCGGAAAAAACAAAGACAACAGCATTTTTTTTAATTAGCAAAAACAATGGTTCCCTACCAGTGGACCGAAGAAGCCAAACTATGGTATTTTATTGGAATAACTCTTTGGGAATGTGACGAGCAAATTGACATTTAACATGTACACTTTCATGAACCTATGAAAAGGAAACGTTAACACTTCCATATATTAATGTGAACTTTTCTCAGCGGGGATTTTTCGACGTAGGTAGTTACTATTTTCCTCATTTCTCTAATGAACTTAAGGCTTATAAATTGTTCCGATTGTGCCTAAGTCTGCGGAAAACGTCTTTACAAAATTCTATAATATTTATACTTTAGTATCACTTTTACACTTAAAAAGTTATTGACACTTTTCTTTTAACTCGATCGTGTCACCGCAAGTAGGAAGGGAGCTCTTACATCGCAATTGTGGCCGTAATTGAAACGGACTACATAAATACATGTTAGTGTTGTGCACATCCGACACAAATAAACCGTCGCTTGTCATGTCATTCAATCTTATATGTGCAACACCAATATCATACATAATAGACCTGCAATAAACAAGTAAAGAGGACATAGAATTTGTTACTGGACTGGCTGGAAATTATTGTTTCAAATATTTAAAAAAAACATACAGACGATTTGTAACCTCTTTGTTTATGGATAATTCTAGAGTTTGCACCACTCGTATGCACAAGAGACTTGTCCATGAACAGTGTATTGTTGACAGTTCCAAACAAGAATAAAACAATAAATACTCGACATTAGCCCAGTCCGCTTAGGGAATGCCATAAAGAAACTGAACTGTAACTCAACCTTTTTGAAGTCGGTTAAAAATATTTTTTTTCTTTTGCTAAGTTCTAGAACACTATCACAGAGAACGTGGCTCGAAACATTAGTCATTCTAAAAGCTAGTTTTAATTTTCAGTGGAGGAATTCGTGGATGGTCTTTTCAAGAAGGAAGCAAGTGAACAGTCCTCTGACAAAGAGAAACCCGAAGATATACGAATGGACTATCCCGAATGGTACAGCGAGAAGAAATACAATCAGTACGTTAATACAACTCTTTAAAAGTATCTTAATAATTTTAAGGAAATAGCGCGAAAGGGACTAATGTGAAATTTGACACAGTTAAAAAATATTTAATTATGAATGTTGTATATAATTCCGTGTACAGGGGGCGTCGCTTCTATTGGGACAACTGCTTCTCACTGACGTCATCGATGCTGCTCGGCCTTGTGGCTGTATTCGCAGTGCCCTCCATCCTGAGGGTCCTCGTCAGCTCGCGCCGATCTAGTTCCCAATACACCGCCTACAGGAGATACCTGTCCACATTACTACACACCGTCGCCTGGTTCGAGAATGATCTGAAACCTGGCAGCATGTAGGTATAATATATTCTATTTCACGTAAAAGTCAAAGATTAAACATCACCACAGACAATTCACATTTGTTACTAAAATTCGTAAATGTCAAATATTCCAGGTGATAAAACAACTGTACACATAACTTTATCTTACAATCTAAAAAAGAGGCTAAAAAAATAATGTTCAAAATCTGTTATAAGACGTTGCAAGTTTACATTAAATTATTTAAGGCGTTTAATTGGAAAGGAAAAAAATTCCATTATCGACATTTTAGTGGTCTAACGTTGACCGTTAGACCGTTAGAGGTTATCGAATTCTCACGTAACTTCATGTTTATTTGATGTCACTTAATATTTTTCCGTAATAGATCTTGGCGATCATTGTACACTGTAAGATGTCGCCACGTTCGCGCGGACATCGCCGCCAAGATGAAGGGTATAGGCAGAGTCTCACAACGAGACATGGCGCTAACACAGTTCGGTTTTATCGGCTTTTCAATACTTAAGCCGGACAAATTCAGCATCAGACCGATGCAATCAGAAGACTGGGAAAGCTACATACATTTCTGGAGGGTTATCGGAAACATGATTGGACTGCAGGATCGGTAAGATCTATTTTTAATTTTAAAAAGAATATTTGAAAACCAGACAGATCATACCATCAAGCCAATAAGTGCATTAGTTTTTTTAAACTTCCTCTTTGCTTTCACTATACCTGTCGCCCGCGACTCGGCCCGAACGTGCCTATGTGTTCTTCTAGACTATGTTCTACATCTATACCAAATTTAATTTATTTATTTAATTAATCTTTAAGACATTATTTGTTCACAGGTACAATATCTGCCGTAAAAACTTACAAGAAACAAAGCAGGTGTGCCAGCTGCTATTAGAGCGCGTATTCACGCCTTCTTTGGACCATGTGCCGGAGTACTTCGAGCATATGGCCAGGGTAATGTTGGAAGGGATGTGGTCTGTCAATCCGACAGTCAATACATCTGCATTGTTATACTGGACTCGGCATTTAGCAGATGTACCCGGTTATGTGTACACTGAAAAGGAGAGAGCTGACTTCCAGGACAGACTACGTGAACATTTGAAGGACAAATCTGAAGATACTGGTGAGCAGATGATTTTTTATTGTCTTGTTATAATTTAAAATAGTTGATTTCTTATCGTGGGTTTCTGGAACTAAGATCCTTGTTAAAAACATATTTTTATCTCTGTTTTGTCAAATTTTATGAAAAGATTTTGGTGCTAGCAACGATTAGTTACATGGTTTTTGCTTATCGGAGGTTTTTCTTAATAATATTCTGACCGTTGGTTTCTGAGACCAAAAGTTCGGTATAAAATATATCGTCGTCATTTTTCTTTGACAAAACAGAGTTAACCATATGTTTTATACGGGGAATTTGGTCTCAGAGACCCTCGCTTACTAAAGAGAACATAAATAATCTAGAAAACATAGTTTACTGTTTATAGCAGTCTTTCCCAAAGTGGGCGACGCTCCCTTGTGGTCGCTGCAGGTTTCAAGTTGCGGGTTATAGTAAAAGTTTCGTTTAGAATTCACCGTTAATATACATATATAGGTCACAATAATTTAATTTGAAGTTATAGTGGTTTTTGAATATGTGAAAATATGGGGGCGCTAAAAAATATTTATTCTCAAAGTAAACAGTAGACAAAATAAGTTTCGGAACCACTGGTTTATAGGATGAACAAATATTTTTACTCGATTGATTTCAAGAATCGAATATTGTATTTTATCTTTGGTAGTACATAAACAAAAATGTCTTTTGACCATAATTACTATTATTATAAAAGCATTAGAAAACAATTATCTGATATTATTTAACTTGTAACTTAATAACTACATTTCAAATTAATGAATAACACTTTAAATAGAAACAATTTACTAATAGTGTGAATATTGCAAATTATAAATAAACTATCAATGCATAGCACAAATTACTGTGCCAAAAGATTAAAAAAAAGGTCTTGACAGACGGACGGACAGCAAAGTGAACCTTGAAAAAAAAAATACTGTATGTTGTCCTACCAAGGTACGCGTCCATTTGCCCGCGCCGTACGCACCCGAACGGCCCGCAACGGATTCCTTGTTGATAAATGCCGTCTTTCAATGCGGGCGGCGCGAATGATGGTGGCAGCTTTGTAAAATCATACAAAGCAAACTTAAATCCGTTGCGGACCGTGCGTGCGGTGCGTCCTGTATAGGTCAATGTACCTTTTATGCTGGGCGAAGAAAACGGATCGAATAAAACCTCATTCGTCGAAATCATATATTGCTGTAATTCTTCATATCATATTTATTTTGACAATAGTTAAGTTTGACTTTTTTTTTATTATTCCAGGCGTAGATTCAACAGTATTTACTTCTCGGCCAGCTATAGAAGGAATAAACGAGCGACCTCCTCGCTTACTTTACCTACATGATTATGACACGATTGAATCAATACCAGAATACAAAATCCTACCATTCGCTGCTAAATATAAGTTAGCAGTTAGCAGTATTTTGTATGCATTCTATTCGACGTATATAGGAAAATTGTACTTAAATTTAAACTTCCTTTTTAGTTTATTACTAATGAAATATTTCCCTTATCTAGCTTTCTTTAGATTCGGTATAAAAGCGTCTTTAGTCAATATATTTGTTGAAGATCCTGTCGACAATACAGAACCAAAAACAAACGCGGAGTATAACAAACCACCGCCTGAGTTACCTTGGTATAAAGCCACGTTATCTGTTTTGACATGGTGATTAATTGTTCCTATGTAAAAAAACTTTTAATCGCACTCAGAGTGTTTAAGTGGTCTATTACTATTCAGAACAAATACCTTTATACGTATTATTTGTTTTTATTTCTAAACTCTTTGTTAACAATGCATTTAATTTAAGTATTTCGTAAGCACGCAATATGACGTTTGAAAATAAATGTTGCCAATTTAAAAAACTAATTTATATATATACTTTATGTAAAAGTATTATTTTTTTCTGTTAAGACATTTACCATATAGATATAAGTTTTTTATGCATATCAATAAATATTCTGTCTGTGAAAGTAAACTGGATACTTGTAAATTGACCGTGGCTAATTATGCAAAAAGTTTCGTAAGTAAAATTGCATTATGGAGATGACTTGTCTCGTTCACGACTAGCTAGTGGGCCTATCATCAAATACGTCGAAATTAGTATGAGATTTTTACTGTACTTTAAGCCCGATTGCTACAATTTTAATATAAATTTTATCGATGACAATACGATAGCACTTTACACAAATATTCGTGTTAGGCCCAATTAGGTGTTACGATCAATATCGAGATATTAAGACAAGGTCAAATATAACTGACCGATACTCCCCTATTCATCAAACGAATGTGTATTTCGATGAACTTATAAATTTTATATTTTTCGTTAAAACTCATAAATTCTTCAATAACTTTGATATTTTTTGTCTCACAAAATTAAAACTTTCATTAATCTTTTACAATATAGAATATAAAGACCGCGAAAAATGACATTTTCGCATCTATGTATCGAACAAATTTATTTTAACTGAGATTAATATTTATTTTAATGTAATATAATACGACTGATATCGTATCCTAGCAATTAATTATGTATTCTAATAATTATTCAATTTTATTTTTATGACAATATACTATTAAGGTATATAGAGCATAGTAAAACATTTGAAAAGTGTATTTATTCGTATGGCAATATTTTTCCATACAATCTTCAATTCACAATTGAAAAAAAAATAAATTTATTTTACAAAAAAGATGATGTTTTATTTGATTTTTTTTAATAAGCATTTAGTTATATAATTATTTTAACTCATTTCAGAAATGATAATTTCTATAAAGCCCGCGCGGAATAAAAAAAATAGTAGTCTACGTGTTCTTCCAGACTATGTTCTACATCTATGACAAAATTCATCAAGATCCGTTACGTCGCATTTATAATATTAGTAAGATTTATATTGCTACAACAGGTTAAATAAAAAAGTATTATACATAAATATTTTTAATTAATTTAAAATACAAATTAGCTTGTATTAAAAAAATCTTGAGCTTTTAATCGCGTCCGCTTAGCTACATTTATTTGTAGCAAATTATCTGTGAGCGTATCATTTCTGGCAACACCGTCAGTAGCTGGTGTTGCCAGTTTATTGGTGTTCGGTGTTGCCACTAGCGGCGTCCTGTGCGGAGTTGTCTTTGGCGTGGTGCTGTGAGCTATTCCCATATCATTCGGTGTTAACTTCAATCTTGGTGACAAGAGATGTTTTGCTGCCAGTTTCCTTGCCGCAGGTGACATGCTTGCCAATCTCTCTGTGTTTGTACGGAAACTGTGGAATATAAATTAAGATTAAAACAAATCAGGATATTAATTTTAAATTAACGTGGATATTTTTCGATAATTTGCCTTATTTTAGAATTTTAGTTTTTTAATCAATTATATTGAAGTGAAATTTACACTGTACGTTAGATTATTACGTAAGAATTGTGATCCGTTTTTCTCTTAATAACAATACAAATGCTACACTAAGGGACTGTCTTAATGACGATTTTACGATACTGAGTTTGCCTTAATGACGATTTAACTGTTGGTTTGAAAGACAATGATATTGTGGTCTCCGTTTTTTTTTCAAAGAGAATGAAACAGAAGACAATATGTGTAAATAAAAGTGGCTGTGTAGTCCTGTGTTAACGAGTGTGCGATGTTTTTTTTAATATTTTTGTTGGTTGACCTTGAACTGCGCATTGCTCCATCGCCAACTCTTTATTTCTTTACACCTAACATTGTTCTGTATAGTGACTCGTTCTGAGCCGACAAGATATCTGAAAAGTATACCTAGGTGTGTGTGGCGCGGTGCGAGGTGTTGTAGGTCTGCGTCGTCGTGCGGCGCGCTCTGCCAACTGCAGCGCCAGTCGCTCGCGTGCTCCGCCCTCCAGCATGCGGTACGCCGCCCCCGCACCCACACTGTGCCCCACATACATATGTTTACAATTAAACTTTCACCATTTTTTTAATTATGAGGTGGCAAACGAGCAATTGCCGTCTGAATTCGCTGAAATAGATAAGCTACTACCCATAGACATCTTCAAATAATGTGTTGCCCAATTTTAATCGACTGCGGATGGAACACGGGAAGATTTCCCCTCCTCCGACAAATCCAAAACCCTTTTCCATCCTTTTCTTATAACAAGACTAAAATTAGGGCACACGGCTTAGTATTAAAGTGCTGATAAACCTTTGATACACACTATAATAATGAACCTTCATATAAAAAAATTATAATTATTTTTTATGACTATTTAAAATAAGCTCCAACACACATTTAAATATAGTTCAGGGCACTACAAAAATAATACTTACGCTGGTAATGGTGTGTCTCCTCCATCAAGACGGAAGGGCGTGCCCTCTATCTCTCCCCAGGTCATGAGGGGGGACTGGTCGGGTCCGGCGCCCGGCCGCGGGGAGGGCGTCGCCACGTACGTGTACGGTTCGCCCGACTTCTCCGTGCACAGACTCACTCCGTCCACACCTATCTTACCTGATATACTCGCGTCCTGAAACAACATTTTATTGTCTAAGTAGCTGTCGCCAGCGACTCCGTCCGCGTGGAATTAAAAAAAAAGTTCCTAAACGGGTTTCCCGACAATTATTCAATTTTTTCTTTCCTTTTAAACCTTCCCTAGACCTCCACGAACATTTCAAGACCAAGTTAAGATAAATCCGTTCAGCCGTTCTCGAGCTTTAGCCAGACTAACGAACAGTATTAATATAATATATAAATATATTAAAATCAATTGCTGTTCGTTAGAATTATTAAGTGTTCAAAAAAGAGTTTTCGGTTCGGTAACTTTTAAACAAAAAGAGATGGATTTTCTTTAAATATTTTCCCCGTGTAGTTATCGATCTGGCTATACACCATTTCAGATTTATCGTTGAATTTTGGGACACGCTGTATATATAAAAATCAATCGAAAATATTATATATATATAACCAAGTCTCAGTTACTTACAGAATAAGTTGAAATACTCAGGGTTGAGTGAGGTAGGGCACTAGACAGAAGTGCCTATGTGTACATCTAGGCCAAATGTCAGCACAATCTGCTAATCCGGTCTGATGACAACTAACAATTGTCCATCCTTCTAAACATTCGCATTTATTTAGATTTTAGTTAGATGTTTACCTGAGTTTTAGCAATAGCAGTGATTGCTTCTTTGTTCTTCACATGATCGAACGGTGGAGCCCTAAGCCTCGTGTTCATATGTCGGAGCTCGGGCTTCGGCGGCGGCCGCTGGGACTCCGCCCCTGCGGGCACGTACATTATGTAGTTCTTTGCTTTATACTTCCATGTATCCAACTGTAAACAAATTACGTACATATTTGAGATAAATTATTTGTTTTTGTTAAATTTAAAAGTTATTTGGCACGAATGGCGCGCTTTCGTTACAAAGTCAAGTGTCAGAATGATTAGTGAGGGGACATAAACATTGATATTTTAATAAGGCTAGTGTTGCGCCAGTACACCGGCAGTGTCGGATATTCTTCCTAACAGCAGACTGATTTTAACAATTATTACACTGAAAGTAAACTCATTTCTAGATTTCAGTTCGGTCATACATATTATTTTTTTCCACCTAATCAATGTTTAAGCAGTTTGCTAATAAGTGTTTTAATATTAAAGACAAAGTCATAGTGAAACACTTTTTAAAATAAATACTATATTAACAATTATTGTGTCACAATGTTAGTTACCAAAGTACTAAGAAACGGTTTGACCAATTTTGATGAAATTTTATATGCATATTCAGTAGCTCTGACAACCGGCTACTATCTATATTTTTTTAATCGTGCGCGTAAAAAGTCGCGAGCGTCAGCTAGTATAGCATAAAAATTTTGATCCTCTACAAAATATACACTTAATACTAAAAAAAACCTTGGTTGCTTACCTCATGTGGTCTTTCCGTTTGATCTGCCTGTTCCTCTATAGAGGGCAAGGCAAGCGCTGCATCAGCTAACGCTGCAGACTTCACCTCCGCCTCAAACTGAGATGCTAACTTTGTAGCACGTTTCTTGTCTTCTAAAGCAATCACGCGATCATAGCTTGCATTATCTTCACTTGTATGCTTCGCTAGGAATGAATCTGTAACAAGTAATAGTATAAGAGACCTATCTTACTAATACTATCATTTAGCTGTCGCTTGCAACTCCGTCTGCACACAATTAAAAAACATAATTAGTAGCCTTTTTTTTCTTTTATATCAGAAGGCGGTAAACGAGCGAGCGGCCACCTGAATTCGCTAAAATTCGACCGTTGCCCATAGACATACGCAATTGCATATGCGTTGCCTACCTTAAATTGACGGAGAGGATGCACAGAAAGAAAATATTTTCCCTTGCCATGCATCCTCTCATCCGCAAAGTCCACTTCCACTTCCCATCCTTTCCTTATAAGAAAAGGGTGGGAAGGGAAAGAGGACTAAATTAGGCCTCCAGGACACACACTCATCAGACGAAACGCGGAATTTCTTCTACTTCACGCCTGTTTTCTTTGTGGTGGTGGTATTTCACCGGGCGAACCTGGCCAATTTGTGCGAAGATGTTAAAGCGGGTTCTATCACTCTTAAAGCCTATGCCTTAAGCCTATGTGTTCTTCCAGACGATTTTCTATATGTATGCTAAACTTCATCAAGATCTGTTTAGCCATTCTGAAGATACCTTCAAACAAACATCCAATCATCTAGCCTTTCTTATTTATAATATTAGTAAGATTTAAACTGTTTTTAACATAATTTTAAGACTAACCTAAACTGTGATTTTCAGTGATATCTCTACACTTTTCTGTTGTTTGTTCTGTCTCAGGTACTTTTTGTATTGAAGTTGATGGTGACAGCGGTCTGTCCACACCAGGAGTATCAAATGTGGCTGGTGAATTGTCTGTAAAAAAATAATATCTTAATACATAACAGGAAAACCCTTTTTAAGCATATTGAGCAATTTAAAATAATATGTTCACAAAACCTTTTTTTAACTGAAAATGAAAATATCTTTATGAATTATATTTGAATTTCAACAAATGGAAAACAACTAGTAATTATTTAACACATTCAATATTTCTCACTTGACCTACTAATACTCTTTTAGCATTTAATGTGTTAAGATTGAAAATATACACAACATAATTTTTTAGGATATTAAAGTCTATATAAAATATAAACATTGTTATTATATATGAGTCGTCAATAACTTACATGGTTCAGTAGGAGGTCTACTGCCACTGTATTTTCTTGTCAATTCTTGAAGTCTTGCATAATCTTTATTCTCTGTTGCTTCCAAATAATCATTCTGAGCTTTTAGTTTCTCCAAATCCGGGAAAAAATCTCTTTGAATTATTTTTGCAATACCCTGTAAAATTGGTATTTTTTGTACTTAAAAATGATATCTCTACTTCTACTATGAAGATAAATTAAATATTAAAAAGTATGTAAAGATCGAAATTGTTTTTACCTCCACATACTGCTCTTCGTCTAAAACTTCAGTTTTCTTTACAACTTTTTTCTTAGGTACTTTTGGAACTTTGAAGACAGAACTTTCTTTTTGTAATAAAGACATATTTTCCAAGGCAGCTGCCCCAGGTTTTGTGATATTATTTTCAGAAGCCATTTCTTTGTTTATGTGGTACTTATAACATTAGATCAAAAAAGAATTTATTAACTACTGAGCAGAGCACAAGTTAATCTACAAAATGGTCCTATTAACAAAATAAAACGCTTTATTTTTCTGTTTTGAACAGTTTCCACAAACACAATTCTTCTTCCTTTCTGACATGCGTCAACTGTCAATGTCATTTTTCATTCAACTTTTTAATAAAAATTTATACAGCTCTGGGTTCTTTACTTTTTGAGCCAAATTTCATGACATACATCCATGTTGCCATTCTCACAACCACGCTGTTGGGTTAGTTTTAATAGATAAAGTAAAAAAGTCGGCGCATAGAGGAAAACTTATTGTTTATTGTAACAAAAACATAATTTTTCAACAAATAACTTTGTATATTTTAAACTAGTATGATATATCTAATAAAATATAGCCTACATCACAATAATTGTACTAGTGAGATTTTGTGCTATTATTTTTCAGTAAGAAATTTGCAAACAACTTCTAGAAACTTCTCAGGTTTCTGACTATGAACCCAATGACCAGCTCCTTCTATAAATGTAAGTTCTGCCAAGGGGAAATATTCTTGTATCTCTGGCAAGTCATACCTCCTGCAAAGAATACAGAAATCATTAAAAATATTGCGATTTTTTAATTTTTACAAGAATATTATGTTATATCACATTAGTGATCACAAATTGCCATGTAAAACTCATCCAGTTCATTATTTCTTAATATTATGACCATATTTAAAATTAAATTAAATGTCTACAATATTTAATTTTTATAATATTGTCTTAATATAAATTCTAATTTCCTAAACTTAAATGAGGTTTTGTTGTAAATAATTTTTCCCAACTTTACATACCTTTCATATTTCTAACTCAATACAGCTGTAATTATAACAACAAAGACACATACTTGGTCATCTTTGTAAGCAATAGAAAATGAATCAAAACATTCTAACTTACCCAATATAATCAGAAAGTGATCCACCAACAAAGAGGCTCGGTCCACAATATTGTAAACCCTTCAAATTATTTGGGAAACAAGAAATATGTGATTGAAAGTTGTCTTTCAGTGCTGGCAGATTCACTCTCCAGGAGTACGAACCAGTATTAGTCTGCACCAAGTTCGTTATCAGAAAATTTCTCAAGTTTATATCAGGAATTATTGCCTTTAGTTGTTCATCTGCTAATTTCCTGGCCTTAGACATTGCTATTCCAGATCTAATGCTGACTCCCGACATGGCATCAAATAAACTAACCATAGAGTATATTTGTGGACTAGTTTTCACTGGTGATATATCAACCACTACAAGACTTGATACAAGGTCAGACTGAAAAGAAAAGAAATATGTAGATAAAATGCTATATAAAACCTGTATAAAAAGAAATTGTTCACTTCTATGGAACTTATTTAATCTATAAAATATATAAAATAATGCCAAAAATTACGTACAACTTACACATAGCAGTGACAAAACCATAGCTGTTCGTCCACCCATACTGTGCCCTAACACGGACACTTTGGAAAGATCTAACTTTTTCAGGAGCTTCATAACATCATGAGCCATATGTATATAGGTGTGTTGTGATGAATGCCGACTATCACCATGATTTCTAGCATCAATACTTATCACTTTCCTTCCAGTTGTTCGATGAATTGCTTTACTCATACTATTCCAGTTATTTTTCGATCCCAAGAGCCCATGAAGAATGATCAAAGGAGGTCTAGAACAGTTTTCATCCGATGTACTCTCATAAGAAGCATAAGCCAAGTCCACTGTTTCGGATATACTGGAGTCGGTGGAAGAATATAGTCTGGGAATTGCTATTTGCGACAACGCCGGGATTTTTATTTGTCGCAATATGTTCTTATGGCATAATTTATTCAGAATCATTTTGTATTTTATAGAGAAAGAGAAGAAAATATGAGATAAATTTAAACTAAAAATTTGACAGTCTATCTTTTTTTTACATTTTTTGAAATTGTCAGTTGTCACAAGTTGTCACTGTCAATTGAGTTGTGATTTAATTTAAGGAATCCGGCAAAGAGCTTTTATGGCGTTTCAGCCACCTAGAAATTATGATTAACTTCCTAAAGCAGCTAAATGTATTAGATTTTTTTTTGCAAGAATGATGTATTTGAAATCAAAGCAGGAAGATTCTTATTGCCTCCATAGCACTAAACTAATTGAAGTAACCAAATAATGCAGATTGAACACAATTCTACGGGACGATTTGCCATGTCCTATTTTCTGAACAATATTAAATTACTAATGATAATTTAAAAACATTTACATCTTTAATTCAACAATAAAAAACGGGTTACAATTTGTAAAAATTCCGTCGGACTGTCAGCGTGAACATTATGACCGGCGTCTTCGATGTACTTTAGTTCAGCTTTTGGAAATAAAGTCTTAATTCCATTGATGTCTTCTTGCCTGTAAAATAGGTCATGTTTTATTTGTAATAAATTATGATTTGTATTCTTAAATTTCCTTGCAATGTAATGGGCAACGAAAGTTACAAAGCGCTATTTTAAAATAAAACGATTGCAAAAGTAAAGCAAACTTTACATTTTTACGTTCTATTTATTGGAAAGTATGTGTATTAATCTCTTTAATAATAATCAATGTCACGATTATACAAAACTACAAAGAATATTAGAATTTCTACCAGGAGACTTCACTTGTACCTGTACTATTACCTCTTGGGATTAGAGTTTATAGTACACGAGGACTAGATGAACTAATCCGTTCCTCTTCAGTAGTATATTAAACACAAAGTACTTTGAACAATATTCGTAGTTCTATCAAAAGTTACTAGGGAAAAACACGATGACTTACGGGATATAAGGTGATTCCCCGCCTCCGAGAAATAAAGTCAAACCGGTGTATTTCTTCCCTGACATGTTAGGAAAATTAGCAATATCTATAAAATATTTACTTAGCACTTCAACATTACAAGACCATCCCACTGTTTTGTATGGCGTGACACCGATATTCATCAAAATAAAACCAATAGTATCAGCATTGATTGATTTAGACTGTAATAACTTTTTGGCATATGCCTTTGCTTTATTTACATCATTGATTCCATCGAAGCTAATGCTTTTCATTGTTTTCAAAACGTTTGGTATAAAATCATTTAAAACTCCTGCGGTTGATATTGGAGAAATATCTACCACGACTAACCTTGATACGCTTGCTGGCTGAAAACAATATAAGTATAGTCACACGTTTAAAAACAAGAAAACTTTAAAAAATTGTAAGTAGAGTCGATCTCTTTTTTTTTAATAAGAGGGAAAACGAGCGCCGAAACACCGAAGCGATCATCGACACCGATGAGTTGCCGACCTTTGAGAAAGATATAGGCTAGCTTCTTTCTTCTTTTACTTCGTATTAGCTTAAAAATATCACCGACGATAAATCGTTCCATAACGTTGATATGCATTGAGTATCGTTGAGGAATGACAACAATCCAGGTAATGTGGATGGTATATGGCGGTGGAGTCACGGCCAAAAGCTAGTCAACTTATCGGTTGCAGGTGCTCTTAAATCTAAATATTTAATCTTGCAATTAAGTATTATAAATTTACTACATATTGATAATAGTTCATCTAAATAATGACCCAATAATCGTTCGATTCCACGGCCACTTAAAATAATGGTCACCCCCTTTAGTTCTCTGTTGAAGAGACTGCAATATAATTTTGTATAGATGTTTCGGCAGCGGAAACTTACTGTTATAAAGTAGTCTAAACAATATAATTTTCAGAAATAATAACCTCAGTGAGTGCTAAAACCATACCAGTCCTTCCTCCCATACTGTGGCCAATAATGTCCGCCTTTTTGATACTTAATGAATCCATTAGGTGTTTCACATCCGATGCAAGTTCAGGATATGTATGGCTGTGATGATGAGGGCTGTCGCCATGGTTACGAGCGTCCACAGCAATCACAGTCTTATTAGTGACATGAACTATCTTTTTCGACATACTTTCCCAATTTCTTTTAGAACCCAATAAGCCATGAAGAATTATAATTGGATTGTCGAGATCCTGCTTACCATGAACTCTGTATGCTAAATTAACAACTGATCTGATGAAATTATATTTACTTTTGTTTTTTAAAAGTAATCGTAAATTCTTACTGTATAGCATATTTCCATATCATTGTATTATATTTTTATTGTTGCAAAACGAAAAGCATCTTTGAATGACGTTGATTGAAATGTCAGTGTCAAAAATATTGATATTTATTTTATATTTTACACATATTATAGATATCCTAGATATTACAATATAAATTAAAAAATATATATTCATTTAATATTATAAAATATATAGGTAAAATAATATTTTACATCAAAAATCCCACTCAAACTTGTTGAGAGTAGTTCATACTGGCCACATTATCAGTGTTGCAATTATTTAAGGCGGGGAATAATTATTTCAAGAAAACCTCTTGTGTCTTCTAAGTGTAAATTGTGATTTGTGCTTCTCAAATACGTAATAACCGCTTCAGGAAAAAAATCGCGAATTGTTGGCAAATCGTCCGGTCTGAAATTAAACAAAATATAAAATATTTTAAAGGACTTAAACAATAGGGAATAGATGAAAGTTTGTATGACAATATTTAAGATTTATTTGAATGCTTAATAAATGTAATTTAAAAAGTAATAGAGGACGATCAAAAAAGTATGAATGGATTGTATGCAAGAGGATATGCGTAAGAAAGAGGTGAAATCAAATATGGCGGCTGTTAGAGATGTATGGAGGTGTACATACTGTGCTGACACTCCGTAAGTATAAGGGCAGGTTGATAATAATGATGTGATTGTTTTATAAATATGCGACAAGACAAATATTAGAGTTATTTTAATGTAACATTTACGGAGACAATAGGTACAAAATGTGAAAATGAAGTTTACACGAATTACAAATGCAACAAAGATAAGATTCCAGGTACAGAACTATCAAAAAGGCGATTTTTTGTAATTCCATTGATTAATAAAAATATTTTTTTATGTAACACTTACGGCAAATATTCCGATAACTGGCCACCAATAAATAAAGTCGGTCCATGATATGTGTTTCCTTTTAACCTTTTCGGGAAGGAGGTCATATTATTAAAATTTCTAATTAAAACATCAAGATTGCACGTCCAGCCTATAGTTAAATCAGATTTTAGGACAACATTGGATATTATTAAATCCATAACGATGTCATCATGTAAACTCTCTTTTAGTTCTTTTCTTATTCTAGCTTGTGTCGCTTCCAGTTTCGTCTCATTTTTGAAAGTTATTTTCTTCATTATTGTAAATATATCTGAATATAGCTCGTCAAATTGTTTAGGTGATGAAGCTGGTGATACATCGATTATCATAACACCCGCTACCACTTTCGGCTAGAAAAACCAATTGGCTATTTTACTACACGTGCAGTTTTTCTTTTCTTTTATTTTTTTGCTAGCCGGTATTTATACTCTGTTTCAATTGGACAGCCTACTGATTGTATCGTGTCAATATCCATTTCTTCCAGACTTGGTTCCAAAATTAATAACGTTAATCTTACTAACTATTATAAATACGAATGTTTAGATGGATGGATGTTTGTTAAAAGGTATGTCTAGAACAGCTGGATGGATCTCGCTAAATTTTGGCATAGATGTAGAACATAGTTTAGAAGAACATAGGCTACTAATTGAGATTTTTTTAAATCAACAAAACTAATTAATATGTTCGTAAATTAAATAATTAATTGTGTTTTCTGCTTATAAATTGTATTATAATAAAGGTGTAGTCCAAAGTTTTAAATAACAACAATATCATAACAAATATTCGCACTATGTATTTCCTTTAAATTATACTTAGGACAAAATTAAAAACATATTGACCGTCGGTGGCTCAGGGGTTCAGCACTTAATTGCATTGTGCAGGTCCTGGGTTCGAATCCCGCCATGTATCAATATGTTTTTCCGATTTTCATTTATATGTAGCTACAGTTATCCGACGTTCTTAAGGTGAAGGAAAACATCGTGATGAAACCTGCACATATCTGCAAAGAAAGTCAAGGATATGTGTGAAGTCAACCCTCATTAGGTCAGCGTGGTTCACTATGGCCTAGTACCTAACTTAGGGTAGACTCCGAGCTCTTCAGTGATATGTATAGTGAGCTGATGATGATTAAAAACTTGTTATGTGTCAATAAATGTCTACCCAATTTACCGCCAATAATGCAATACACATTGCCGTTTTTCCACCGATTCCATGTCCAAGGAAAAAAGCTTTGTCTACTGATAATTTCTTTAATAAATTTTGAACATCGATCGCCATTTCTTCGTACTTATGGGAGCTTGTGTGTGGACTCATGCCGTGATTTCTGAGATCGACAATGACCACTGGCCGCTTTGTTAAATTGTTTATTGTCTTTCCGATGCTATTCCATTGCTTTTTGTTACTTAACAAATCGTGTAATATGCATAGAGGTGGCGCTATGTCGCTCGGAGTACCTATAATCTGTTGTAGTACTTTGTACGATAAATTCACAGCATATCTGACACATTTATATGAACATTTAAATATATTTTCATCGAGCCAATTCACATTTTGATATATTTTACAAGATCTTACAATGCGCAACATAATTTTGATAAAAAATATTTCAAATTATACGCTGATTCGTACATTTTTTGACAGCATTATTTTGACGTGTTGACTTTTTAAATATTAAAAAAAATATACCTTTATTGACATTTTACACTTTGTTAAAGGCTCGAAGAACATGGTGCCAATAGTTTTTTTTTGTTAAAATTCCTAAGCCACATAATTACTGAAATTTATTAATTTATAAAAATAAAACAGACTAAAAAATCATTCTCAAACAAAATGTACTAAAAAGTAACAACGCCTGTTTGCGAAGCCTGAACGCAGTAATTTGGATCCGCGGTGAAATGTCTTAAATATAGTTACGTTTATGTTCCTACGTAGGCCTATTTTTTCCTTATCTAATGCCAGTATATGCAGATGTATCCTCTCAAATTCACGAATAGCATTGAATTTATTTTTACAAGCTCGAAGCATCTCTAGAGAAGAAGTGGTTCAATTATTTGGATAATTTACAAAAGTTTCCACACGAGTAACAGTACCTTTATATTTCGCATACCTGGTGATCTTTTCTTTCTCCAGCTCGATCAAGCATTCGTCATTTTAATCTTCATTCCCTTCTTAATTAGATTCACGAAACGCATCTGCAGTTCCTCTGGTGTTGCGAATGTACATGGGTGTCGTCGATCACTACATTTATCCCCTTCTCTTATAAAAAAAACTTCATAATAAAAACTGGATTATCATCTAAATCCCAGTCTATCCCTTTCTAAATAAACAATTTTCTTACGTTCTATCCAATTTACAATTCAAATATATTATAATTAAAATTTATAATTTTTTACTTAATAAAAATCGACCTGTACATACTAGTGACCTTCGAACTGTTTTAATTTCGTTATTTACTATACAACGCATACATTTAAATTCATTAACAACCTTTACTATTCAATTTTAATACCATGTCTTTATTTATTCGAAATACTTGTTTCAATGAACCGGTAATGGCCGTTAATTTCAGTCATGTTTACCTATTTCTCTATTTCACTTTCAACAAGAAATTTGATCAGCATAAATTAAAAAAAACAACGGTTGATATAAATGTTTAAGCCCCTTTTCCACTAGCTAAAGTAGCCACGGACGACTTCAATCTCTATGTTTAAATAGCGTTGCCGGGCTTCCGGATGACGCCGGACATAGGTAGGCTTTTTGATTGCGTGTCCCGGAAAAATAAACGGTATCCGGATTGTCCGGCTTTTGGTAGGGTTTTTTACATTTCGCAAACAAGAGTGTCGTATCTATTAATACTGAGACAAAATCCTAAATAATTTAGAGTGTCCGACCTTTCTAACCAAATGTCCGGTCAAACTGGCTGGTCTGTGCGGCTATAAGTCTTAGCGACAACTAACTAACTAGGCTGTAACCCTATTGTAAGGACAATTCCAGGTTGATTATTGCAGCAAATAATTGCTACAGAGTTTTAATATTTCTTAGAAATATGTTGATATATCAGCAAACGCAATTATCTAAATAACCATTAGTAAACTCATTTACAGATTGTATAATACATTAATTTGTTAATGTAATTATAATTATTTACTGTTTAGTATTTACGTAATTTAAACATTGAAAAATATCAACTAGCATTCCATACACCAAACACACGTCGTTGAACACCTCGGTGTTCCCGCTGCTCGTTTGCCCCCTTCTGTTATAAAAAAAAAAACTTGCTTTGTAATCGTACTAGACGTATAACGGTAGAAATTATTCATAACAATACTATTCTTATAGTTTTCAGCAGATTATAAAATACATGTGTCTATGATAAGTTCAGTTCAACCGCCATTTTACATTGGCAAAACATCTGTTAACATTATTATTTCGAGTTAAATTTCAAAGACTATAGGATGGCAAACACTTATTGTCATTGTCCAACAGTGGCAATCACCAGCAACAACAAGCAATTCCGCATTTCATCTGATGAGTGTGCTACTGAAGGTCAAATTTAGTCCATTCTGCCTTTTTTTTATACAACATAACATAAGCAAACGAGCAGCGGAACACCAGGTGTTCAACGACGCCCATGGACATCAGCAATACTAGAGGAACCGCATTCGTTGCCGGCCTTTGAGATGGTGATACGCTCGTTTCTTGATGGACCTTAAGTCGTAGCCTTCCCACCCTTTTCTTATGAGGAAATGTTAGAAAAGGGATTTGGATTTGACGCAGAAGGTGATGCATATGAAGGGGAAATATTGTCTGCGTGCGTCCCTCCTACATCCAATTGCGATTGTCTATGGGTTGCAGTCGCTTCGCTGTTTCGACGAATTTAGGCCACTTGCTCGTTTGTCACCTTTTAATATAAAAAAAGCAATGCTTACTTAATTTTACATATCTTTTAAATCTTACGACTAGACAATCTATTTTGGTTAACCCTATTAAGACACAAGTAGATAAACAAATAACTTGTACTAATAAATTGCCTTGATATTTATCGTGCGTATGTTTTTGCTAAAATCGAGTTTTAAAATTACATTCAAAGTTATACATAATATTTATATAACTTTAGCCAGCTACGCAAGAATTTGTTTCTTATTTTTCTCGTTGATTGTTATTGTAAAAAATTGTTTTTTTTAAATATGCTTTTAAAACAATTAAGATGACAAGAAAAGGGATTTTTATTAGACTTTTACATAGTACTAAGGCCATTATATAGATAATATTTTGATACGAGACTTCAGTTTATGTTACCAAAAACTACAAAAGGTTTAAAAGGAAACTTTCGTAAATAAAAAACAGATTAATTACTATCATAAAATGTGTGACAAAACTAACGGGAAGAAACATAATTCGTTTCAAGGCGACTAGGTATACATAAGTCTGCCTAATTACACTTACTGAATAATTTTCCACTAAGTTAGACGTAAATTGAGGCCGTGTGCGATTTATTTATATGAGAGTCACAGCTATCAGTCGCACCAGAACTATCAAAAACTCGCTCATGGAAATAGAAAAGGCAGGTTAATCGCGCCAGTGGAAATAGGGCCGTCGCTTTTAATATCTTTAAAGACCCTCACCGTCCCAAATCATAACTCTGATCCAATCTGAAGACAAACATCCACGACATAATCCTTCCAGATTACGATTATTTTTAAAATCAAAATTGATTTAACTATCACAAGGTTTTTTTTAACAATTGTATCGATTCATTTATTTACTTAAATTTTCTTTGTGTCAAGTGTTTTAATTTATTTTTTGAATTATACATACATACATTGTTAATTAGGTATCGTTAACAGACTTTATTTTGTCAAACCAGACAGAATAAGAAAGTGTTTGAAGCAGCATGTATACGGCCATCAAATAATAACCAATTATCGCTGTTTAATTAATTGTAATTGTTGTAACTATTTATGCGAACTGACTTGCAGTGGCTATATCATTTTATTGAAATACAACATCACAAGGCAACTTGGTAGCGGTGCGTAAGCGCGGACTTGCGGACTTGTGGTCAATCTTGCAGAAAACCCGTCAAGACAACAACGCACACAGGTATTTCAAACCTAAAAAAGTTTACGTCAATTTGCATTTTAAAGAGTTTGTGATTATTTATTTTAATATTATTTATAATGTTACTGTAATATTCTAATTATGTGTCGTGCACGAAATTCGTGATTGAATTATAAATTAAGGTGTTGGACTTATGGTACGTAAATGTTTGCCTGTTTTTGTTTTTTTTTTAACAAAATGTCCTAACATATGACATCTTCTTTCTTGGGGGTTGTTTAAATCTAATTTTAATATATAAAATAAGTTAATTATAAATATCTAATAAATTCAAATTAATCTTACTAATTAAATAGTAAATTAAAGTAGCACGTCCTTTTATACAATAAAAAATAACGTTTCATTATTTTTTTACTTGAAAATAACATTCAAATATATTTACATCATTTTTAATTGCAATCAAAAAGATAATATTACTAAGGTAGTAAAGCAACTACCCGTAAAAAAAATTTTACTAAACTAAAGCAATCATCCATGCAGATTAAAAAACTCTTCAACTTTTTTTTAATTATTCAAATAGATGTCACTGACAGTTATTTATGCCTTGATTTGTGGCCAGTTACAAATTACAGTAACTACAGAGCTAACGTGTACTTCGCAATCATCTTGGATGTGGTCCAACTCAGTCGGGCTAGCTTAGTATCATTATAACTGTTTATAAGCTCTCACGTATCATAACTCTGTCAGGATATAGAGAAAGTATGCGACCCCTTTCACTTTAAACGTCATGTTGTTAATTTAACCTTGAAAAGTCAACTAAGAAGGGTAATGTTTTTTGTTTGTAATTAAGCGGGTTTATATTTACAAAATTCCTTGGTAACTTATAGTGTAAATGACTAAACTTATTTTTACAAAGTAATGGTCGAATTGTACACCTTCCCTAATTATCGTGGTGATACAGTTCTTAGTTTATTTTGTTTTTTATTAACAAATAGTTTTATAATTATAGCATATATGTTGGTCAATCTCGTAAAACATATTGGTAGATAATCAGTTTCATGCAGCCTATATATAATACGACAATATATAGCTTTTATTAAACGACTTCAAAGCATTGAAGTCATAGGTACATTTGCGTTTTTTTATATTACAAAAAATACGTGAAATCTTACTAATATTATAAATGCAAATGTTTAGGTGAATGAATGTTTGTTTGAAGGTATTTACAGAACGGCTGCATGGATCTCGATGAAATTTGGCATAGATGTAGAACATAGCCTGGAAGTAAACATAGGCTACCATTTTTTTTTTATTTTGCGCGGACAGAGTCGCGGGCGACAGCTAGTATATTAATAACTTACAGGTTTAATCCATAGCTCTTCAAATGCACGCATGACGTTTAGACAAGGCAAAATCAATTGACATCATTTCTTTTGACAGATTTATTGTGTTGACTATTAGCTTTATTATCGCTTTTCTATAATCATAAATAACATCACGATCTAGGAATACTAATTGCAATAGTACATATCAACCTACTAATACTATATTTTTATTGATACTAACTTTGCCCGTGACATCACT